CCCCCCCCCCCCCCCCCCCTCTGTCTGGAGAAAATATAGCAATCTTGCACATTCGCTTCTTTCTTCCCATACCTATGAACGGCACACACGCCCCTAACCAAGAAGATTGATGTGTCTGTAAGGGCGCGTCGCCAGCACCCCTCACGGCGCTTCATGCTGCCGTCTGTACATACATGCCTCTTTTGAACGCTGCCGAGCAAAACACACTACGGATAACTACCAGTCCACCAGGCAACTCATCGCTCATAATTCAAACTCCTCACATGCTTACCCCGCGGCGTCCCAAACCTCCCTGGCCGTTCATTCGTCCGCTGACTTTCCTCGGTCCTTAAGGCGTTTCCAACCCACCCGGTCCAACCTTCGCAGTCTAAACCTTGACCAATACGTACTGTCCAGCTTCGCGTTTTCCATTCCGATACATCCGCGCTTTGGACCTGCACAACTTTTCGGTGGTGCCTGCGGTCCATGCTGCGCAACTTTAATGCTTGCCCCGCGTCCCAATCTCGTTTCAACCACTTCTCCAAATCACTTTGTAGTGCAAACACGCCCACCATAAATACAAGTCAGCAAGACGCATACAAAACATTCGTGTGATTAAGATGGACGACTCTCGACTCCTCAACTGGACACACACCAACTTACTCTCCGCCATGAAGCATGTCGTAAAAGCAAGTCGCAGAAGTGGCCAATAGGAAGGAACCCTTGTCTCAAGGTGGAAGGTCCCTCCCAACCACTACTTCCAATCGCAAGGTGTCAGTGACTTCTAATCACCGTGTAAAAGCATATCGAGCATGCAGCGAGAAGACTTACTACTCAACAAATTTTCCCTGTCTATTGTTTGTTACTGTCAGTACCGTCAATTAACGGCCGTTCGTTCTCAACGACTCAACGATCTAACTAACCTTTATAAATTGAGAGAGAAGACATAAAATGCAATTTACGGCGATGAAGGAGGTAACGTTATGCCTGAACCATATAACTCTGACTGCACTGTTGTGTATGTTGTTGGCACTCTGTGTGTGTGAAACGACGTTTTTTTAGTGAATAAGTTCTCTCTTCTGTTGTTGGGGTTCTAATTAACTGTTATGCGACTGGAGTTTCTTCTCTTTCCAATTGCATTGGGCTTCTTTAATCATATTATCTGGCATGTCACTCTCTTCCTCGTACAGCGAGCTATTTACAGGACAAGGGAATTTAGAGGGGAGAGTTGTGATATAATGTCGTGGGCAAATCTACTTTAAACTTTAAGTCTTGTTCTACTGCCTCAGCCTCACAAGCTTTGTTGTCACTTAATGATACTATTGCAGAAAGACCAGTGCTTTGAAGTTTAAGACAGTGGAGGTCACGGGGGGGGGGGGGGGGGGGGGGGGGGGTTGGACTCTATTCCTCACGCTTTTTCGCGTGCACTTCACATTCCGTGAATTTTCCAGGCCAAGAATGGAATCTCGGTATGGACCGCAGCAATAGACGTCGTTAGTTTTCTCTTCTCAGCCATGTAGTTTTTCATTATCGATAGGCTAGATGCCATTTCTTATAGAGAAAGTATCGCACTCTATCAACTTTGGTCTTGCAACGTAAGGGGCTCTTGAGAGGTTTAAAGATCAGGGAGAGAGAAAAGACCCCCTTCGATGACATCTTCGATGCGGCCATACCACAACATAGGCTGTTACATGTCGCGCTTTCGCCCTCTAAAGCATGTACTGTGCTTCTTGCACACTCAATATGAATATGGAGTAGGGGCCTGGAGTTTTGGAACATTTTGTGTTGGGAATGCAGAATGGTGACGGCCACTCTTCGTGGTAGTCTTGCAAGCACGAGTCGGGGTGCTCGGTTAATTTGGGATCGATGAAAAGAGGCGAACGTTAACACACAATTGGTTGTCTCGAATAATCACATAATAGTTTAGATCCTTTACAATATACTGTAAGTAATAAATGTGGTTGCCTAAAAAACATTGGGCGCTTTTTATACGATTTAGGGAATTCTGGGGACCCCCAGTGGAAGTGGATGATGTTGGGCAAACCCGTGGAAGCCGTGTCCTTCGCATCGTTCCTTCACTGCACTAACTGGCAAGGAACGCCTTCACAGAAGTCTTGCGCCGCAATGTGCGACTGTTCAAAGACGGGATTTCTTCGCTGATTGTACAGAGAGCTGTACGTAATCCTTCGCAATGGCGACGAGGGATCGCACCGGTTTATTCTTACGATATCGCGAACAAGCGAGAGCACTGCACCGTCGACCGGCAAGGGCATCCGAGGGCAGCAGGTTTATCGGCGCTGAAAATGCAACAGGAGATTTCGACTCAAATCATGATGACAGTGCAGATGAGGACGGTGCTCAGGTTCGGAGGGGGGGTATGGAACCGGACTGGGTCTTCACGTACAACGAACTCACGGGTGATTTATCAGAACTAGAAAAGCTTCTGGAGCAACTCATCTCACTGTATAACAAGCATTTGCTACCTTCATTTGGAGAAACAGATACTTCTCAACTTGAGCACGACATCCGAACGCGGTCTCATCAATTGACCAAGCTGTTACATGACGTCGAACGGAAAGTTCGAAATGTCACCAAACACACTACAGAGCTTGATTCAGATGATAGGGAAGTTGAAACAAAGATCCGGCAGAACCTGCAGAAGCGATTCGCAACACCTCTGCAACACCTCTCAATGTCATTCCGAAAGCGCCAGAAAGCGTACCTAGACAAACTCAAAGAACATCGTGAATCTTTCGCCGCGAAAACAGATTCAAAGATGGGAACCCTGATAGATATTGGTGACCCATCCGCAGCAGACCAGTACGACTCAGGCTTTTCAGAATCGCAACTGCTCACCGTGGAAAACGCTTCTGCCTTGGCTGAGGATCGAACCCAGGAGCTCACTTCTGTCGCAGAAAATGTCAATGACTTGGCCACGCTTGTCAAGGATATTGCGTCGCTAGTCGTCGATCAGGGTACGGTTTTGGATAGAATTGATTACAATCTAGAGGACGTTAAGTTGACGACCACAAGCGCTGTGCGGGAACTACACATAGCTAACCGGTACCAAAGGAAGCGACACGCTCTTTGTTGCATCATCCTTCTATCTATCGCATGTGGAGTTATGTTCACAATTCTTGTTTTTAAATGGACGAGCTAAAAGACCAAAGTCTTTTTAGCCTCGGACTCTCACAAGACATAGGTTTAACGTTCCTCGTCATCCCGGAACTGGATAGCCCGCCTAGAGAAATGTACATTTATTATCTTCGATACGGCAGCGCGGAGTCAATGGAATCTAGGAGTACTTCACTCTGGTCCATCTTCCTGCTAACAATATCTATTCCGCCGTGAGCTAAACCAGCAATTTCTGGTGCTTCGTCTTGGGCAACGACCAAAACTGTATTTCGTGGGCTGTGTTTTTCATCAAGAAGGGCTGGGAGAATTTTGGATATTCTCCGACGACCATCCTCGTCCAAAGATTGCAAAATTTCATCCATGACAATAAGCGAAGAACGAAAGCCAGCTCGCTCATGAGCTAGATCTGCAAATGCTAGCGCGAATGCCAAAGAACATCGCCTGCGCTGACCTCCGCTAAGTTGTCTGAGAGTACGCTCTCTAAATACGGGTAGGGCCCCACCTGTGCGAACGAAGACCTTCTTTGAGATTATTTCCTTGTTGTCCCCTTCAACCCTGTTTGATGACTTGTAGTCTGAAAAGGCCCTGATCTGAAGCATCAGTTCCCCTGCAGAGAGCCTATCCAAGTACATACTTGTGAGTCTTTCGAGCCATAAAAGACCTTCTTCCAGGACGAATGAAGGAACGCCACGAGGGCCAAACGCTACGTCAAGTGACTTGAAGGTGTTCAAGCTGCCTTTTAGCTTTGAGAATTCCTGCTCGCGCTTCTCAAACGTAGACGTTTCTGCATTCAATTCACTCCGCACCCTTCGCAGCGACTCCATGTACGGGTTCACGTCTTGCTGCGCGGAATTTCTTGCGCTCTCAAGACTCTGATACTTTTTTTGTACATCAAGAAGATCATCAATATGATCCTGTAGATTTCTTCGTCGCGATAACGATTCTGTCCTCAGAATTTCTCTTGCTTGAACTTCGGCTATCACAGCTTCATACTGCCTTTCGGCTTGTGAAAGAGCTTCACGACTGGCAGCAACGTTTTCCTGAACAATATTGACAATATTGCCCATGGGTTCGCTATGCGTCGCCTTTCGCAAAGTCGCAGTGATCTCTTGAATTTCGTTCAGATATAAGTTGGGATCTCGGTAGAGAATATTTAGCTTCTTTTCAAACTCCGATATTTCTCTGGACAGTGAGCTTCTCGTATTTCGCATTGATCGAAGTATACTGAATGTTTCGCTGACTTTTGCTTTTCTGTCCAGAAGCCGTCTTCTCTCCTCGTCAACCTCTGCACCTAGGACACGAACAGCTGCCTCATATGATATTTTCTCATTTTTATGCTGTGCCTCGGTCTTCAAAACAGCTTCTTCAATCGCAGCAGCTTCTTTCTCAAGTTGGGATCTGGCTTGCACGTATAGCTCTCCGTCGAAAGGACGAAGGCAAGTTTCACATGACGTTGGATTCGAAAGGGCCAATAAACCATGTTCTTCGCCGCTTGCATCGCTGGAGCTGAGTGATACATTTTCGCTTTGCAGCAGACGTGCCTTTACTTCGTGAAGTGCAGTTTCCAGTCGCACTCGTTCATCCTGAATCGCAGAGACTCGTTTCCGTGATTCCTGTACCACGCTCACTTCTGTCGAGAAAGATGCATGGGATTGATCATTTTTGAAATCAATGTTGACCATGACGAGCTCCTGGAACTTCTCCTCACAGTCACGCATTTCCATGGAGGCTGCGCTCCATTTTGCATCGATATCTGCAAGACTTTGCATTCCTTTCAGCTCCTTCCTAGCGCTTTCAATATAGGTGCGAATGTCTCGTGCCTTCCGTTCACGCTCTTCCTCCCAATCTCTACCTTTCAACATCAAAGAAGTGATTCGGGACTGTACCTCTTCAGCTGCAAGGAGAGATGCTTTTGATAAGGTCAAGGCTGAAGCGGTTGATTCTCTTTGGCTATCTAGGGCATTTCCTGTGTAGTCCTCGAGTTGCCTCAGCTTGTGCTTGCAGTCTTCAATAATAGTTGATAACTGATCTGCGGTTGTCGGAAACGTTTCTGAATAAGCGACGGAATCCTCAGAAGATCGGGAGTTACGCGCGTGAAAACTGTTTCTCTCTTCATCAATATGTGTCAAAGTCTTTTCGCGTTGCGCTTCGAAAGCGTTATACTGGTCACGAGCAGATGACTCTGCGGCCTGCAAACGAAAAAGCACAGCTTTCGCAGCATCCAGGCTTGCTTCGGACGTCAATATCACATCGTGAAGAGAACTGATTTTCTCACGACTCATGCTCCGAGCGGCCTTCCAAACATCAAGAGGAAACACCATTGCAAGATGCTCTTTCAATGTTCTATCAGTTGAGTCAACAAGACCTCTCCCTGGCCCCATATGCTGTCCAAAGAAGACCGTGTGTGGTAGTAACGTTCCATTCACTAGTCTGTCAATTCGTGACTGCGTCTCCTTGACGTCCAAGCACGTTAAGTCGATGTCGTTGACTTTGAAGCATAGTCCCTGGCGATATGACCTACGCATGAGGACGTACACAAGAGAATAAACGCACAGGAATTGAACAATACGCAACAAAAGCGAGCTCAAAAACAGGAATTGTCAGACATACATGGACCGTGGGCACTGCACGGGAAATGCCAAGCAGATTTTGTTCATCAAGACAGGTTTTGTGGAATAGATAAGAACGTACCTCGATTTCGACGATGTGATGGGTCTGGAACTTGTTCTCGTCACTTGCAAGTTTAGAGATTCTTTGATTGATCCGTTGTCGCTGACGTTCAACTTCGATAGCTGACGTTCTTCTTTCGACATCATTTTGAGGACCTCTGACATCACGCGATCGCCTCTGATTTTCAATTTAACGGTAACCTCACATTCATTGGTATCATCATGAATCATTTCCAAAGATACACCTCTTTCCACGGAACCATCTGGTCGTGCGTCAGTTCGGCCAGTCATCGCCCATAAGGCAGACATGACCAGAGTGGTTTTCCCTGTACCATTTGTGCGACCAGTAACAGCACCTTCGTTATCACAATCACGTCCTGTTATTAGGACAATTCCGCGTCTGTCTAAAGAATAAGTTGTCGACTTCAGAAAGCTTCCGAATCCTCGTAGTGTCACACTATCCCACTCAATGAACACATCCTTTCCAGAGATGCTAGAAGTCAATGTCGAAGTTTTTCCCGCAACTTCACGCAAGATATCTTTTCCGGAGCTGGTGACCGTAGGATCAAGGTTCTTAATCATAGCATATTCTTGAAACAAGTCAATGTTGGAGAGTACATCGGACGAGATGCGAGGCTCCGTTGAAGCGAGGGGGTTGGCATCACCATCACCTTTGGGAAGTCCCGAACTAGTTCCACCAGGGACTAGTCTAATTTCCACGCGAGTGCCCTTTTCTCTAAGCCTTGCAACAAGCCGAGTCATTTTATCGTTCGATTGGGAATATGTCTCAACAGTAACCCGGTCACCAGCCTCTATAGTCGGCAGTGACGAATATTCATCGGCACGAATAGTAATGTGACGAGGCCCTACTCGAATAGGAATACTATCGGTAACTGCCCAGCCTGCCTTCCTGTCCAAAACATACAAGAATTTCTGTTGACCCTCTTCAGCCGCAGACACTTCATACGGAGACCCAACATACCTGACATTGCCCGACACTACATGAGGCCTGTGTAGATGCCCGCTGTACACTGGCACTTTTGATGGAAAATCACCAGGGGAGATAGAACGAGATGATGGTTTCGAGACAATTTTGTCTGCCAATTTTGCGCCGGCAACTTCGACATGACAAAACACTGCACTAATGTCTTCCAGGGAGTTTTTAGCCTGCTCAAGAGATGCTTTAAGCCTGGAGGTCTCATGCATGTAAGGGAGGAACAAGGCATCCAGACACACGGTAGGCTTCGTTATCAATAGGCACGCCTCTGCTCCTAGAGTGGTAGCAAGTGGAACAAGGGAGACACCATTCCCGTTCCGAGAGACGAGATCATGATTGCCTGGAATCATAACGACAGGCACTGACCAATGCTGGAGTTCTTCGAGAATGATGTTAAGAGGCTCTACTGCGAGAGAGCCGCGAGCATGCCAAAAGTCGCCGAGAAAGACGATACCTGCGTCACGTTTCAGTGCCTCTGCGTGGGCGATTTTGAGCGCCTGAACACATGTGAAGACTGTTTCGCGCTTGACATGCAAGTCGGACAGCACAACATACATGCGCTTCGATTCGAGAGCAGCAGGCGCCGTCACATGGTTCAATGGTTGGGCGGCGCACACAAAGCGGCGATGACAACGACGGAGCAGGCCCCGGCGTGGCGGGGAGTACAGACGGACAAAACTATACATGCTTTGGGTGCCAAGCTATTGGCGCAAACGAATTGGTGAAGAATGCTTCGTAGTGAAGAGATTCTCAGACATACATCGAAAACGTAGACGGCAATGACACGACCTCACCGCGGTCAAGATTGATAACGGTGCGGGCTGTGGAACCAGGGCGGAATGCGGCTCCCAAAGATTCGCCCGCAGCTATCTTGTCTGACCTCTAGACAACGAGCACCTTTAATCTTGGAACGGGGTCTGAATCCTCAGAGATGCGGAATCTGTAATTACACGCACAACACGTTGCTGCGACTACAGTCGAATTTTACCACGATCAAAACGTTGAGCCACTACAGTATAAATGGTACAGTACTGTACCCGAAGAGCACCGTAGATGTACGACAGGCGTGCGGTAGGCAATGCTGCACTTGTTGTTGGTGCGCACGCCTGGTTGCCGTTAACTAGGGCGAGTCAGGCGCGAAGGGCCTGACATTCGAATGAAAAAAGGCGTTCATGCTGGGCGATGTGAGCATTGAGCTTCCGCAACATTCAAAAACGCTTACATTTCTACAGTACTGCTGAGCAATACCTCCTCGACCGCAACACGATAGGCAGACACTTCCCATATTACAGCTATTCTACTCCGGCGACGCTCTCAATCGTCTCGTACCGTTCGACAACGGCATTCATGTATTCTGTCGTCGTAACCCACTTATCTCGAGCCGTTCCCGCCTGCCCATGCACGCAAATAGCCAGGTCCTTGGTCATGATCCCACTTTCCACTGTATCGATGCATGCCTTTTCTAAATCTTCGGCAAACTGCACCACTCCTGGGGTCCCATCCAACTTTCCTCGATGTGCCAGCCCACGCGTCCATGCAAATATAGAGGCAATCGGATTTGTGCTCGTTTCTTTTCCAGCTTGGTGTTGGCGGAAGTGCCTGGTCACCGTGCCATGCGCTGCTTCCGTTTCGATTGTCTTTCCGTTATCGTGGGGGCACAGCAGGGTTGATGTCATCAAACCGAGGCTTCCAAAGCCCTGTGCGCTGATGTCTGTATAATGCAAATTTGTAAGAAAAACATTTTGAGAAAGTGATGTGTTAGCGATGTGTTAGCGATGTGTTAGCAAAAGACGCAGGGTGACTCCATAGGCGAAATGATATAAAGAATGCGTCGGAGAAAAAGCATGGTTTGCTCCACATACCGGAAATGACATCTCCGTCGTAGTTCTTTAAAGCAGCTAGGTATCCGCCGTCAGATTTGACCATGTAGGCAACAAAGTCATCGATTAAGCGATGCTCATAAGGCACGCTCGGATAATCCTTGGCAACTTCTGCAAAGATGTCCTTGAACTTTCCATCGTACTGCTTGAGAATCGTATTCTTCGTAGAAAGAATGACGGGTACATTCCTCATCTGAGCATACGCAAACGACGACTTAGCAAAGCCATAGATGGATTCATCGGTGTTAAACATGCTAAGCCCAACGCCAGGACTCTCAAACTCGTGAACAACATGTTCAACACTCTCGCCGCCATCTCTAGGTTGAAACGTCATTTTCATTGTACCCGGACGGTCAATGACCATATCAGTGCTCTTGTACTGATCTCCGAAGGCATGTCGAGCAATGATTATGGGCTTATTCCATGCAGGTATAAGTCTCGGAATGTTGTTGCAGAGAATCGGCTCCCTAAAGACGGTACCGTTTAGAATGGTCCTGATAGTCCCATTGGGAGACTTGTACATCTTCTTAAGACCAAACTCCTTCACGCGAGCCTCATCCGGTGTGATTCCGGCACATTTGATGCCGACGTTGTGTTCGAGAATGGCGTGGGCGGCGTCGACGGTGATCTGGTCATCAGTGGCATCGCGGCTCTCAATACCAAGATCATACTCGATGATATCGAGGTCGAGGTACGGGAGAATCAACTTGTCCTGGATAGAGCGCCATATCATGCGGGTCATTTCGTCACCATCGAGCGAGACGACGGGGTTCTTCACGCGCACCTTGGACGCCGTGGACATGCCGCGACGGACAATGCCGGCGCCTTGGCGAAGCATCTTGAAGACGAAAGGGGAGATTGGCACTACGAGGTCGAGGTGAAGAGGGGACAAACACCTTGAGGAGCAGAAATGTAAAACGTGTGACTTTGATATTTAAACCCATAGGTCGCCTCCGTCTAAAAGGGTCTAAAGTTATTCTATTATTCTCGACTTTACACATGACGCACGTGGAGAGAGGAGGATTCTCATTGATTTAGCGCTGCAAGGACTTGATTGGCTGCGTGAGATATTCCATCCAACCCTGGCCCAGTAACTCAGATACAATATCTAGTCATTTTGTAAATTTTTGAGATCCCTTTTCGCAAGACCCTATCAGGACCACGCTGTCTTTTCCGTTGTCGCACGGCGGCCGCACTTGACACGACTTTCAACTGAGAGAGAGAAGCGCCAATTTGACCGCCAGCGCAGTGATCTTGCATCCATGCTCGAAAGCCGAATACCACGTCTGGATTCCAGAGCCGTATGCGTTTTATCTCCAGGTCCAGACTCTGTAGACCTGGAGATAAAACGCATACGGTGCATTTTATAATACGGCATTGTCGTGTGGCCTTAAACGGTACACCCCTGCCTGGCAATCCCAAAAGCGGTTGCAAATTTGAATCATACGTGTTTCGCCCACCTGCTGATGAAAGAAGCCACCCCTGAAAGGACGTGAATTCTTCCTAAGATCGACAGACGCTGTACTTGTCATTTTATTTCACAAGCCTCACAAGCATTGCTGCGTTTGTCGCATATCAAGCCTTTGAAGCTTCCCATGCGCAGTTCTGAGCACACCCCACGATCCCTTTCATACAGCCGTGATTTGGTTTATCCTTTGGTTGCACAGTACAAAAAAAGCTTTTCTTCTGTATACAGCCCAGAGGGGGGTACTATTAAGGGGATTTTTGAAACCCTCTCCTCTTGTTTACATGGCACATGAACCGCAAGATAAGGAAACTATGAAACCATCAGAACCTGCAGAGGTTTCTTACCTGTTCTGCAGTATGTACTGTAGAGACCACAAGGCGACAAAGACCTACCTACTCACAAAGGCTTTTCGTCAAATCTCCCATGAACTGAAGAAAACAGACAGCGTCAATAGACCTTAGTTGTTACACGCCCATAGCCCTTTGTCGGAAGAGGGCAAGAGTCACACCAGAGGAGGCTCCCCAGCCCCGGCTACGCAACAAGGGAAAGTCGGTCTGAATTTCCAGACTGGGTAGATCTTCCACAACTCAATATATAAGCGTGATGCGGAGCAGTATATGAGTCAATAACGGGGGTTTCTAGGTCCGGCTACGGCTTTTGACTGCCACAACTGTGGCTACAGTCGTCCATGCCGGGCCAAGCCGGTAATGCCATACAGGACTCGGCACTCTCCCTAGTTTACTTTGCACTTGAATGCGCCCTTCTAGAAATAAAGGTCCATACTGCACATCCTGCGATATACTGTATGCCTTAGAAAAAGTTATTTGAGGGCATCCCTTGACGAAACAAGCAGCTGAAAGCCTGGTTGCTACAGTACCTGTTGACGCATGTGCACACATACTTGTAGCCATGTATGTACTTCAGTATTGCTGCTCTTCACGATACTCCAGGACGGGGGCTCAAACCCGCAAAGTCGGGGGCCGTGAGTGCTGACCACGAAACCGGTGCAAAGATGCCCTCGAGCGGAAATGCGACCGTGAACTCCCTTTATTGTCTCTCTGACCTCTCTCTGACCTCCGCTCAAATGTCACATATGACTCCCTCTGAGATTGAAATATCAAGCGTTCTTTTATGAAGCTATACTTCACTGAAATCCCGGACCGTTAGAACTGGAACATCGGAAGTGCTTTTGAATGAAACAATTAAAGGCAAGTCGCGAACTACTACTTTCTAAAATTGAACCATCAGTCCCGAGAGTGGTCTTGACAAATTGTGAGCCAGCCCCCGAACAACCCTGGGATCACACATCGTAAGTCGTTCATTGTCTCTGGCTAGCGAGCGTATTCAGTTAAGTTTAATCGATTCCAATTCAGGCGCGCAAACCCTTATTCTTGTCCTGAAGCATGGTGGTTTTACACAACCAGCTATGCTCAAAAATATTCCTTTCTGGATGTATCGCTTTTGTTGTGTTACCTCTAGAAAGGAATAATTTTGAGCACAGCTGTGGCATAATCCCCACTGCTTGCAGAAAACAGTCCCGCTTAGCCAGAAAAGGGAAAGGTTCGCAACTCACCAGCTGAAGATAGGCCGCATGTTTTTTTCCCGAAACAATACTGTACTGGAGCTTCCCCAATTCTGAACTGGTGCAGAGTCATGAGCATCGCTGTTTCTGCGACAGAGTCCAGCGCAACGGCTCTGGGAAAGAGGCAACAATACTTTTGGCACCAAAATAATAGTTTTGTTTATATTTTAATGCTGTTCGTCCGTAAGATGCCTCTCGGCAAGGCGGCAAAATTTGTCACCGTGGGTGTGTCCCCTTCAACTTCACGTCACAACGACAATTTATTGTGAGCCCAGGCCTGCGAGATCCAAAGGGAAGGGAGTGTTTGCTGGTATCTGTTATTAGCGCAACATCTTGATGATTGTGGAGGGGTCTTGCGACCTCCACTGACCCCTCCTCATCTCGTCCAAACTCCGTTGCAACCATTCCATCGTTTCCGTCACTAGCCCCGTCAGAAATGCCTGACGGCGGGAATGGCAGCGGCATTGGCAGTGGCATCGGCGGCGGCGGCGGCGGCGGCGGCGGAGAAGAATGCTATGTGCAGGCACTCGGTCGCACTTCGTGCGCTCAAATTATCTACGCGCAGGCGGAACGCTTGGCAAATCGTTCAACTCCGAAGAGTGCACGTCCTAGTTCGCGGGTGGCGCGTCCAGTCTCGGCATCGGGCATTCATGCAACACATGCTGTTGCAGATGCACTCGCTGATATAGCTGCGACGTTTGTTGAGGCGATTGGTCGTTCTGCTTCGGCCCGAAGCCAACTTGCCGGTCGTGCGTCTTGTAACCTCATTGATGCGCTCGGAGCGGTCGAGGCTCTGTCACCGGTGACAAATTCGACACCGCGAGATTTGATGAAGTATGCGATGTTTCAAGAAATCCCATTTCCCTATCCCGTTCCGCGTTTTCCGGTTTTGCCGGCTCCCAAGAAACGGAAAAGAGAACTGTTTGTGCAACCCGAAAAGTCGGACGAGATGCCAGATGAGCGCCTGTTTATCGAACAGTGGATGCCGCCGCTACCGTCAGCGCATACGTACGTAGCAACGCCAGTTTTTGTAAAGAAAGACGCAGAGAAGAGGGATGCAACGGAGATGGATCGACAAAGAAGAGGAGTAGAGAAATCCCTGGCGAGGTTAAAAGAGGCAAAGGCAGGCGCAAATAGAGGGGGGATGCTTGCCGCGGTGGCCGCTGTTGCACCTGACAACCCATTTCTTATCTTTCCAAAGGTTGGAAATGGCCGAATCTTCGATGAGGACATTGTCGAAACAAGGGAACTCACAGAAAAGAAGCCCCAAGGTAGCTTCCCAAGTGACGCCCACGATTCCAATGTTGCAGCGCTTATCGAAGTTCCGAAAAATGCTGCCAATGACCAAAAGCGTGCCAAGGTCGAGCGCATTTTGTCTGAAGCTGGCAGTGCCACAACGACAGCTATCAGCGGACCGGGCCCATCAGGATCATGACGCTAACGACGATATTGCAGTGGTCCTCTTATTTATTCAAGGAGCAACATTCGACGAACAGTATTCAACGCTATCACGACCAGAACGTATTTCTAGTGCGCCGCGGACCTTGTTACTTCTAAATAGCTGCGAAAGGGCGCTTCCCAAAACGCACATGGAGAGTATTTCGACTGCTCGCTTTGTTCACTTCTTACACATTTGTATACAGCTATCGCAATGCGAGCTCCGTACACTGAACAGGAAACGAGCCTGACTGCAAGTCAATGCGTATGCACGAGTCTAGTTACTCTTTCTCTGGAAAGTGGCCAACGTTGTGTTTTTGTTATCTGTTGTCGGCCTGGTGCCTTGATCTATGCGAACGCACACAGCGGACTGCAACCTGTGCTTCTAACTAGACTTTCGTAAACGTTCGCCGAGTCAATGGCTAGCTGCTTAAAGTTTTAACGAGGTGCTTGTTTACTTGCCCTGTGTTGTCGTTTCTTCATACGTTTATATGTCTTTCGAAACGGGCCGTCGCTTTGGTGTCTAAAATTTGACGAAAACACCTCGGTAGATTGCGATGGATTTCTCCTTTGAGTGACAGGGGAGTAAAATAAAGGAAGATTTCCGGACAGGAAACTTTCCGGAGGGAAGTGAAAGGTCCTTTTGCATGCACTCCATAGGCGTCGTTCTAGAATGACTGGGGCACAAATTTCCGTTAAGTTCAATGCACGCAAGCAGTTTGTTCATCTCCTCGCCGGTTACGATCAACAATAGATATGAAGTTTTAGTGCTACTGCAGGGCATATGAGTTTACGTATAAATACCGCAATGGGAACTGAGTAGGTCGGACGGTACAGTTAGCTGGGAGGAAATGCAACCACGGTTTTGGAAGGCTAGTCGTGACCGCACGATGGATCTAGCGCAACGGCTTTGTATCCTTAAATAAATCGAATGGAACGTGG